CATGAAAACTACTAAAAATCAACAGATGAAATAAGAGTAATTAGGTACCTTGTGCAAGCGGTAACGAGAAAGATTCGACCTCAGCAAGAACCGGAACTAAGTAAAACAAATTAACAAAATAACTATAACTCGGTTTTCGATTTTTGTTCCATTTTGTCTGGTTCGCCGGAAAATTTTTCCACGAAGCTTTTAGTCGACCGGTCGCCGTTGTAAATCGCGGAAAGTTTGCCGTTGGCATAGAAGAAAATCGAAGGGTAGCCCATTAAGCCGTGTTCCATGCAGAACCCTAAATTACTTTCAGCGGGTTAGCACCAGACGAATGGGGGTGAGCCACTTTTTTCATACCTGGGTACTCCGTACACGAGAAGGACGTAAGCAATATTTTGTTGCGCAGCTTGGTCGCCGCTTTACTGTATGCCTCCTTCGCATTTTGGCAGTGTACACACCAATCGGCGTGAAAGAATACGACGGCCTTGTCGAGTGGTTCCAACTTTGGGGCAAAGTTTTCCGGCGTCAGCACAAATACGTCCTTGCCAAATTCAGTCACCTGGTTCAACGGAGTCTCATGGTCACTTCTGAAATAAATGAGTGAGTGTACAATTTTATTAAAAATGCCATTATCTCTGTTCAGAGATAATTTTTTCAGATAATTCTGACAACCAATAATAAGTTCTAGGCAAGGCAATTTAGTTAAACTTTGCTTTAAATTTTACACTTCGTCACCATTAAAACAACATGGAGCGGTACCCCTTTTCTTCGTTTCTCAAAGCTACCTATCATTCACTTTTGGAGTTTTCTGTATCTGCTGCCCATATTTTTTATACAAAGGACAAAGAACGTGCTCAAATGATTTTGCTGTCATTTCGGATGATAGACCCGATGAAGACTTTCTCCTCGAAACATTTGCTTGCAAGACTAAAGAGTTATGCGAAGTGTTGTTGCCAGTGTCTTTTCTGCAGACCGCTTTAGCATTCATGCCAGATATTCACAGATAAGGAACTCCGTACTTCGTAATGGACGCAATCCCTTATTTTGGTCGTTGTCCATTTTCTGTGAAGAGGTCTCGAAAGTTTATTTGCGACAGTAAATGGACAACTATGCATTTTTAAACTGTAATTTAATCATTTTATGGTCTTGCCAATTAGACTTGGTAATTGCAATGAATCAGGACAATACGAGGAACTTGCTGAGGCTGCCGTTCCAGTAAATCCACTGCAATGACCAGCTAACTGCACAAACTGTTCAGCAGAAGCCCAGTGTGTCAATCGTTTTTAGGCTGATTGATGGTTCCCAACAAAACAGCTATAGAGCACCATAATGCCAGCGCAAATTCCCATATGTCAGTGGGAAAGGAAACAGCCTTAAAAAGGAAGCAGGTGTAATCATAACACCGAAAGCAACGTTCACGTTCACAAAGGTCATAGGAGATGCCGTGTTCACAATCGGACGGAAGTGCACCGGACAAACGGCCTGAAGCGCAAGAGGGTCACAACGAGGATGCCACCGGATCTACAGACCGTCTGTGCATGAAAAGCATGTTGCCAAGGCGAACGGGTTCGTGAGAAGGGCAAGCGCATAAAGATAATATGAAAGAACCAGTTCAAGTTACGTTACTAGTTAAGTCATTATTATTATATCAATTGACTGTAGGTTATGAACGATGCTATAAGTTGCTTAACGGCAAATGTGGGGGTGACTGAAATTTTGTGGATATGTAGTAAATG